AAAGCCCAAACCACACCCACTGCCGTGGAGTCCATTCTGACTCACAGCGCCCCTAGAGGACAGAGTGGAACTGCACCTCAGGGTCTCCAAGGCTGTCAATCTTCACAGAAGCAAAGCCCAAACCACACCCACTGCCACGGAGTGGATTCTGACTCACAGCGCCCCTAAAGGATGGGATGGAACTGACCATAGGGTTTCTAAGGATGTCACTCTTTATGGAAGCAGACTGCCACACCTTTCTTCTGAAGAGCAGCTGGTAGGTTTGAACCCCCAACAGCAGAGTGTTTAACTACTGTGCCACCAGGGTGCCTGAACGATGCTTGGCAGTGAGCCCGATGGCATCAGTGCTGTGATCCAGGCTTGGAGAAAGGAAGTATGGCTTCTCTTACAGTTGTCCACATGAAGCATGGGTACCATGTCAGTCAAAGGACACAGCCAGAGTGGTGGGAAGTCCTATCACTTACAAGTGGTTGAGAGAACAGAGGCTGGTCATCCATGTGAGTGAGTGCGGAAGGGCCAGGATTTCTTTCAGTGGTTGAGGGGCTGCCATGTGGCAGAGAGCGCAGGGACCAGTGGCGGAAGCAATGCAGAGTCAGAACTCAACTCAGTGTGAGGACCTGTTGTTCCCACAGAAATGGGTCCTGAGGATTCTTCATCCCTGGAAAAGGTGAAGCCTAGATGGGCAAGGTGGGGACGGTGACAGCCACGTGGAGGATCACACGGGCAGCTGGGCTCCCGACTCACAGTGACGCCATGCACAACGGGAGGAAGGATGCCTGGGCGTGCACCACCCTCACGATCGACTGTGGACTGGGTTTTGACTGGCGGCTGATGCTCGCGAGGAGCTCACCGTGTCCTCCTTGCTGGTGACTCCGTCCTGGTCTAGGAGCTCTGCTGAGACCTGGCCAGCAACACAGCACCACCAGGGCCTCCAGCGACAGACACACACCTGAGGTGCACGGCCGGGAACCGAACCTGGCTCTCCTGCGTGGGAGGGGAGAACTCCACCACCACTGCCCCCCTTGGCTCAGCAGGTCCCCTCGAATCCCTTCCCACTCGTTTCCTTTGAGTCCAGGATCCCATACCTGTGAATACTGCGGCCTCTTCCAGCTCACAGGGACCAGGACGTTGGAATTGGAGCCTGACGAGGTGGAGGACGTGCTCCGGGTGACGGCCATGGCCCTGGGCTTCCCGTCGTGCCCCGAAGAGTTCTGCAGGTCGTCGTACCGCCGCCCGATGATTGGAGTCTGGAGGGCAATGAGCACAAAAGCATGACGCATCCTGTCTCATTCCCAGTTGTGTGGATAAGGGACCACTGAACCCAATGCACCCAAGAACTACTGTTGTTTCTCATCTCGGTGGAAGTCTACATGGCCAAAGGTACACCATTTAACTCAGTTACATTGTTTTGAATTGTGATTTGGCTGAAACTTATCCCTGGGTATTTGCTGCCCTTCTGATGTCATATGGTTGGTTGGTCTAAGCAGTGCATACCTCCCTGGTGACAAGGTGGATCTTATTGGCCTGTCCTTTGTTTGGCTAGAAAAGGAGCCATGGGATTTGTGGTGGTTAAGTTTGTGTGTCAACTTGGCTGGGCCTGGTTGAGTGGCTGGGCAGCTGGAGGTAGTATTCCCCATGATGAGACTGGTGGGATCTACTGTGAGCAGCTGAGTCTGCCTTAGGATGTGGTCTGCTTCCTGTATATAGTATATAAGGAGAAGCCTCGGGGAATGGTCTCTAGCCTGTGGCACCTTGAACCCTGCATGGAGCCATGTTGTTGCTCAGCAGCCTGCCATGCTCTGCCGACCTGGGACTTACAATAGACTTGAGTTGATGGCCTGCCGTGTGGTTTGGTAACATCAGGACTGTGCCTTTTGACTTGTCAACCTTGGGCTTTGTAGCCTCAGCAGCCAGCCGCTGTCTGAGTGAAGAAACGCCTCTGGCTCCAGTGGGCCGGGAGCAGGAGGTAGAGCTGGACCCCAAGGTTGAGGGGCTTTCACCAGCCCCTAGAGCCTGGCACTTTGAACTTGGACTTAAAGCCTCCAAACTGTGAGAGAATAAGGCCATCGCGTCTGTGGTATAGTCTTGTCAGAGCAGCACTAGGGAACCCGAACAGGATTGGTTACATTCTCCAGGTGCCACTGCCATTCTCATTGTCCTTTCCCACATTCTACAACCACCCTTACCTTAAACTCACTGCCCCCTAAGGTCCCAGCTAACCTTTTGAGTGACCATTATTAATATGATCTCACCATAGATTATGCTTAAAATACCACCATGTTCAAAGCCAATGTACTTTACTGTTGAAGATTTTGTTGTTGTTAGGTGTTGTCGAGTCACCTCTCATTCACAGCGACCGTTCATACAACAGAACGAAACACTGCCTGCACGCCATCCTCACAGTCCTTGCTATGCATGAGTCCTTTGTCGCTCACTCTCCACTTTACCAAGCATGAGCTCCTTCTCCAGGGAATGGTCCCTTCTGACACCATGACCAAAGTAGGTGAGACGCAGTCTGGCCATTCTCTTTGCCAAGGAGCATTCCAGCTGCACTTGTTCAGGACAGATTTGTTCATTCTTCTGGTCTCCATGATGTAGTCAGTGTTCTTCACTCAACACCGTAAGTCAAGGGCATCAACTCTTCTTTGGTCTTTTTTATTCATTGTCCAGCTTTCACACGTACGTGGGGCGATTGAAAATACCATGGCTTGGGTGAGGTGCCCCCTAGTCTTCAAAGAGACATCTTTGCCTTCAGCACTTGAAAGAGGTCTTTTGCAGCAGCTTTGCCCAGTGTAATTATGTCATCTGATTTCTTGAGTGCTGCTTGCATGGGGGTTGATTGTGGAACCAAGTAAAATGAAATCTTTGGCAACTTCAATCTTTTCTCCATTTATCCTGATGTTGCTTATCAGTCCAGTTGTGAGGATTTCTTTATGTTGAGTTGTAATCCATATTGCAGACTGTCGTCTTCAATCTTCATCAGTAAGTGCTTCAAGTCATCCTCACTTTCAGCAAGCAAAGTTGTGTCATTTGGGTATCACAGGTGGTTAATGAATCTTCCTCCAATCCTGATGCCACATTCTTCTTCACAGAGTCCACCTTAATTTTGTGTCCTCTTTTGAATCCAGTTTGTATTTCTTGGAAGTTCCCTGTCAATATAGGGCTGCAACCATTTTTGAATTACCTTCAGCAAGATTTTACTTGCATGCGATATTAATGATATTGTTAGATAATTTCCCCATTCTGTGGGCTCACCTTTCTTTGGAATGGGGACAGATATGGCTCTCTTCCATTTACTTGGCCAGGTAGCTGTCTTCCAAATCTCTTGGCACAGGTGAGTAACTGCCTCCAGTGCAGCATCCGTGTGTTGAAATATCTCAATGGGTATTCTGTCAATTCTTGGAGACTTGTTTTTCATCAGTTCGTTCAGTGCAGCTTTTGCTTCCTTCAATACCATTGGTTCTTGATCATATGCCACCTCCTGAAATAGCTGAATATTGACACATTCTTTTCCGTACAGTGGCTCTGTGTATCCCTTCCATGTTCTCTCAATGCTTCCTGCATCATTCAATATTTTGCCCATAGGATCTGTCAGTATTCCAACTTGAGACTTGAATTTTTTCTTCAGTTCTTTCAGGTTAAGAAATGCCAAGCATGTTCTTCCCTTTTGGTTTTCTAACTTCAAGTCTTTTCACATTTCATTATAGTAATTGGCTTTGTCTTCTCTAGCTGCTCTTTGAAATCTGTTCAGTTCTTTTATCTTGTCACTTCCTCCATTCGCTTTAGCTACTCCCCTTTCAAGAGCAAGTTTGAGTCTCTTCTGACATCGATTTTTGTCTTTTCTTCTTTTCCTGGCTTTCTAATGACCTTTTGCTTTCTTCATGGATGATTATCTTGCTAATATCCCATAACTCGTCTGGTTCTCAGTCACTGGTGTTCAGTGCATCAAATCTATTCTTCAGGTAGTCTCTAAATTCAGGTGGGATACAATCAGGGTCCTATTTTGGTTCTTGTGGGCCTGTTTTAATTTTCATCAGCTGTGACTTGAACTTGCATAGGAGCAGTTGATGGTCTGTTCCACAATCAGCTTGTGGCCTGGTTTTGGCTGAAGATATTGACCTTCTCCATCGCCTCTTGCCTGTGTCCTCTGTCTGGCGAAGTCCATGTGTATAGGTGCCATTTATTTTGTTGAAAAAAGGTATTTGCGATGAGTAAGTCACTGGTCTTGCAAAACTCCATCCCATCATGTGATCGCAACTGTTATTTCTATCACCAGAGCCATAGTTTCTAATTACCAGTGATTCTTCTTCATTTCTAAATTTCACATTCCAGTCACCTGTATAATCAGTCCGTGTTGACTGCATGTTTGGTCAATGTCAGACTGTAGAAGTTGCTAAAAATCTGCAGTTTCTTCATCTTTGGCTGTAGTGGTTGGTGTGTAAATTTGAATACCTGTCACGTCAACCAGTGTTCCTTGTAGGTGTTTGGATGTTATCCTATCATTGCCAGCACTGTACTTCACATCTTGACACATTCTTTTTGACAGTGAATGTGATGCCATTCCTCTTCAGTTTGTCATTCCCAGTTCAGCAGATCATATGATGGTCTGATTCAAAATGGCCAAAACCAGTCCATTTCAGCTCACTAAGCTAAAATCTTGATATTGATGCATTCCATTTCTTTTAATTTTCCTGGATTCATACTTTGTATTTGCTAGTTCCAATTATTAATAGATATTTTTGCAGCTGTTTCTTTCCATTTTGAATCATGCCACATCAGCAAATGCAGGTCCCTATCCATGTCATTAAGGTCGACTCTTCTTCTGGCACTATATAGGACAATGTTTTGTGGTTGTTGTTCTTAGCCATCGAGTCAGACGTGACTCACAGCGACCCCTCCTCGGGTTTCCGAGGTAGTATCACTACAGAAGTAGATTGCCCCGTCCTCCTTCCGAGGAGTGGCTGGTGGGTTTGAACCGCCAGCCCTCTGGTTAGCAGTCAAGTGCCTTAGGCACTACACCACCAGAGCTCCTGGACAATGTTTTAGGGGTAAAGTTTTCCAGTGGCCAATTCTTTGAGAAGTGGATGGCCCATCCTTCTTCTGTGTCTGTCTTAGACAGTCCAGAAGCTCTACTGAAACCTGTCCAGCATGGGTGACCCTGAAGGTATGTGAAATACTGGTGGCACAGCCTCCAGCCTCACAGCAACACGCCAGCCACCACAGTGTAACATACTGCCAGATGTGGGGTGGACTCATTAGGATACACCAGCTATTTCTTGGTTAAAGAAGAGGGAAATAGTTTGGGGGGCTCATGCAGCCTCAGCTCCAGAAGTCCTGGGTTTCACTGAGACTTTGAACTTTTGTTCTGTATCCACCCCTCTCCTTTTGATCAGGATTCTTCTGCAGAATCTTTGATCAAAATGAAGAATTGCTTATTTTGGTTAAACACTGGATTAGGAAGTGTGGTGATACAAGCAGGGTCACCCATGGTGGATAGGTTTCAGCAAAGACAGACTGAAGAAGGATGGGGCCATCCACTTCTGAAAAAACCGGCCCCTGAAAACCTCATGAATCATAGTGAGAGAGTGACATATTATCAGGAGATGAGCCCCTCAGAGTGGAAGACACTCAAAATACGACTGGGGAAGACCTGCTTCCTTGACCTTAATGATGTGATAGAGTAAAGCTTTTGGGACCTTCATTGGCTGACGGGGCACAACTTAAAATGGGATTCTTCGCCAGCACCACAAGCATCAATTCTTCTTCGGTCTTCCTTATTGTCTAGCTCTCGCATGCATACGAGGAGATTGAAAATATCATGGCCTGTGTCAGGCGCACCTTAATCCTCAAGGAGACATCTTTGCTCCTCAGCACTTGAAAGAGGTCCTTTGTAACCAATGTGCCCAGTGCTATACGTCATCTAATGTCCTGACTGCTGCTTCTATTGGCATCGATTGTAGATCCAAGAAATGTGAAGTCTTTGACAACTTTGGTCTTTTCTCCATTTATTGTGATGCTGCTCATTGGTCCAGCTGCGAGGACTTTTGTCTTCTTGATATTAAGTGCTTCAAGTCATTCTCACTTTCAGCAAGCAAAATTGTGTCATCAGTGTATCACAGGTTGTTAATGATTCTTTGAGCCAAGATCCATCTGACTTCAGCACTGATATCCTTTGTTCCATGTGCTCTTTTGAACCCAGCCTGCAACTCTGGAAGTTCTCTGTCAATATACTGTTGCAACCGTTTATCTTCAGTAAGATTTTACTGACGTGAGATATTAATGATATTGTTTGATAATTTCCACAATCTGCGGAATCACCTTTCTTTGGAATGGGTACCAATATGGATCTCTTTCAGTCAGTTGGCCAGGTGGCTGTCTTCCGAATCTCTTGGCATAAACCGAGTGAGTGCCTCCATAGAGGCATCAGTTTGTTGAAACATCTCAATGGGTATTAATGGGTATTCCGTCAATTCCTGGAGCCTTGTTCTTAGCCAGTTTCCTCAGTGCAGCTTCGACCTCTTCCCTCAATACCACTGGTTCTTGAACACATGCCACCTCCTGAAATGGATGAATATTGACCAGTTCTTTTTGGTACAGTGACTCTGTGTATTCTTGCCATCTTCTTTTGATGCTTCCTGCATCATTCAATATTTTACCCATAGAATCTTTCAATATTGCAACTTGAGGCTTAAATTTTTTCCTCAGTTCTTTCAGCTTGAGAAATGCCAAGCATGTTCTTCCCTTTTGCTTTTCTAACTCCAAGTCTTTGCACATTTCATTATAGTAATTGGCTTTGTCTGCTCGAGCTGCTCTTTGAAATCTTCTGTTCAGCTCTTTTACCTTGTCAGCTCTTTTACCTTGTCATTTCTTCCATTGGCTTTAGCTATTCTCTGCTCAAGGGAAAGCTTGAGAGTCTCTTCTGTCATCCATTTGGCTCTTTTCTTTTTTTCTTGTCTTTTTAATGACCTCGTTCTTCACGGATGATGTTCTTGATGTCATCCCACAATGCCTCTGGTTTTCGGTCATTGGTGTCTGAATGCATCAAATCTATTCTTTAGATGGTCTCTAACTTCAGGAAGGATATATTTCAGGTTATATTTTGGCTCTTGGGCTCTTGTGGACTTGTTATGTCTTCAAGTTGAACCTGCATATGAGCAGTTGATGGTGTGTTCCACAATCAGTTCCTGGCCTTATTTTGGCTGAAGATACTGAGCTTTTCCATCACTTATTGCCATAGATGTAGTCAGCCACAGATGTAGTCAATCTGATTCCTGTGTATTCCATCTGGGGAAGTCCTCATCTTCTTTGGCAGTTGGTGCATAAATTTGAGTACTGTAGTATGAACTGATCTTCCTTGAAAGTGTGTGGATATTACCCTATCACTGACAGCATGACAGAGCTTCCAACATCCTTTGTGTTTCAACTGACTGGAAGAGGTTGCCCATTCCATAGAAAGGTGATCCAACAGACTGTGGAAATAAAAATACCCCTAATATCATATGCAAGTAAAATTTGGGTGTAAGCAAAGGATACCAGAAAGATGTTTACTTGTGTTTCATTGACTATGTAAAAGCATTTGATTGTGTGGATCATAACAAATCAAATTACAGATAACAATGACAAGAATAGGAATTCTAGAACACTTAATTGTAGTCATGAGGAATCGGTACATAGACGAGGAGGCTGTCCTTGGAGCAGAACAAGGGGACACTGCATGGTTTAAAATCAGGAGGGGAGCATGTCAGGGTTGTATCCTTTCACCACACTTACTCAATCTGTATGCTGAGCAAATAATCAGAGAAGCTGGACTATATGAAGAAGAGCATGGCATCAGCAATTAACCTGCAATATGCAGAAAATACAACCTTGTATGCTCAAAGTGAGGATGAAGATTGAAGACTACAGTCTGCAGCGTGGATTACACCTCAGTATCAAGAAGACACAATCCCTCACAACTGGACCAATAAGCAGTATCATGATAAATGGAGAAAAGACTGAAGTTGTCAATGATTTCATCTTACTTAGATCCCTGGATCCATGAGCAACTCCCATGGAAGCATCAGGCCAATGTGCTGCAAAAGACCTGTTTCAAGCTCTGAAGAGCAAAGATATCTCCTTGAAGACTAACTTAACTGAGTATTTCAGTTGCCTCATAGGTTTGTGAGAGCTGGACAGTGAATAAGGAAGACCCCAGAAGAAATGATGCCTTTGCATTGTGGTGTTGGCACAGAATACTGAGAGTACCGTGGACGGCCAGAAGAACTAACAGGTCTGTCCTGGAGGAAGTGCAGCCGGAATGCTCCTTGGAAGTGAGAATGGCCAGACTTCGTCTCACCTACTTTGGTCATGTTGTCAGAAGGGACCATTCCCTGGAGAAGGATGTCATGCTTGGTAGGGTGGAGGGTCAGTGAAAAAGGGGAAGGCCCTCAACGAGATGGACTCAGGTATAGCAGAGATTATGGCGTGGGGTGTGATTTCATTCTGTTACCCGGGGTTGCTGAGTCAGAGCCCACTCGACAGCAGCTAACAACAGGGACCCTCGGTGGTATAGTGATTCGGCTGCTAACCAAAGGTCAGCAGTTCAAACCCACCAGCTGCTATACAGGAGAAAAATGGGGCAGTTCTACTCTGTCCTGTAGGGGTGCTGTGAGTCAGAATTGAGTCCATGGCGGCGGGTTTGGTTCTAATTATCAGTTGCTGTCAAGTCAGTGCCAACTCATGACAACCCCGTGTGTATGTCAGAGTAGAACCGTGTCCCACGGGGCTGGCTCTGAGGTGCCGCAGCGTGGCCTTGAACCTTCAGCCTATTAACCGTTTGTATCCCTAAATGCACTGCTGTGGAGTCAGATCCAACTCATTGCAACCCTTTCTTGGCCTTCTTGGGTTTCTGAGGCGGTATCACTATGGAAGCAGCTACTCAGAAATTCACATTGAAATGGTCCCATAAATCAGTACATAGCTCAGTACCTCAGAAAGATCAAAGTGAAAATCCAGGGTTTTTCCGGGTAATTCCTTGGATGCGCTGGTCCACACGCGATGGATTTCTATTTTTGAGAGGTCGCCGTGCTGGTAGGAAGGCAGGACGAGGCTGGCCGAGCGGGACACCACCAGCCTCAAGATGTTGAGGGCTTCCCTCCAGTGAGTGCTCTGCGGGAGACAACACCGTCAACACACAGTCAGCGCTTTAACAGTGTCTGCTGAAACTTCTCACCAGCCAGAAGTCACTCGTTCAAAACTCAAAATCATAATAAAGACCACGTTTACTGATCTGCTGGAGGCTGCTGGAACCCCGAGACTGTGGCCCTCAGATACCTTCAAGCCGGGAACTGAACCCACCCCTGTGGCTCGACTTTCTGCCGACAATCCCACCAGGCAGGTGCCTGCTCTTTACAAAGATCAGAAGGGTGGCACCTGTCCAGGGAAAAAGCTCAGAAGGCAGGAAGGAGAGGAAGAGTATTGGAACTTGTGGGATTCTCGAGCGAGTGTCACAAAATGTGTATGAACTGCTGTATGGAAACCAATTTGCTCTGCAAACTTTCACCCCAAATCACAGGAAGAAGTTAAACACAGGGAATCACCTGATAATAAAAGGCAATTTAGCCTCAAGATGAGCTAGGAAAAAAGCAATTTGAAAAAAAAATGACCCACTTTACTCAAATAAATAAAAATTTAAAAATAACAAGAAAGCACTTTTGCCAACTCAGTTCCTCCTTGTTTGGACCAAAAATTCCTGGAGTCTTTCTCTCCTTCTGCTTTAAAGTAAAAGCACACAAAATAAATCCTATCTATCTATCTCCTCTGCTTTTAAATTTTGAATGAGGAAAGTCATGGTTTGAGTGTGATGTCAGCCCCTAGTAAAACGAAAAAGGAGGGTCTCCACAGGAGCCCCCCAGCCCTAAGAACAGGCAGCCATGGCCTGAGATACCTGATTAGCACCTCTGTCTCCTGAGGGCACCCTGTTACTGAGTGCCTGTCCTGAGGGACAGCTAGTATTTGAACACCACTGCTGGAAATGTGAGTGAAACAGCACTTGGGAGGCACTTCGCCTTAAACATTTAAATAAACATTTAAACCCAGCCCTTGCCCTGGACCTGCAACTCACTGAGGACACTCCTGAGAAGGAGGACTGGGAGCTCCTCAGATACTTACTTGCACGTATTTCTCAATGGTCTTCAGAACGTCCACGTTAAACTGCCTCACGGGAATGACGGACAGGTCCATGTAGCTGAGCAGACTGCAGATCACCTGGAGCAGCGACTGCTGCATGCTCGGGAGGCCCTTCTCCAGCAACTGCAGGCCGCGGGATGCAGACACAGGGTTAGGGCGCACGGAGCAGGGCTCCTCAGACACAGGGGTTAGGGCGTATGGACCAGGGCTCCTCAGACACAGGGGTTAGGGCGCACGGAGCAGGGCTCCTCAGGCACAGGGTTAGGGCACACGGAGCAGGGCTCCTCAGACACAGGGG